AGCAAACTGACGCTAGTAAATTACAGAAATTGGTCAATTCAGACATTTAAAGTAGTACTGCTTGTATTATTAGCAAGAATAAAATGTTTTTTTTAGAGTTTCAGTATTTTCTGCATAAAAACAGACAGTGCTTCATGTGGCTGCATGATGTCATGTCAGTTTGTTATGAGTAGACCTGTCATTTAATCAGAAAAATAAATACCCCCTTCATTGTGTAGTTAATATTTTAAACATGCAGTTGCTTAGCACAATGACATGTTACAAATAAAACTAAATCAAGAACAATATAAAGTAAAATTCTCCTCTAAAGTCATTGGGCCTCATGCAAGAACCGTTTGTACGCACAGATTTGTTCTTAAATTGTGCGTACGAGTGGTTTAGGAGAATTTGTGGCATTCACCAATGTTTTCGTATTCCAAGATTTTCTTCAGATACGAACAAAATTTACGAGTGGTCCAGACCTGTCGTATTTTTTACGAGCAGTCAGTCTGCTGTTTTCCAGCAGACTGACTGTACCTAGTTTGTGCCGCTTTATCAGCATTAAAAGAAAACCAGTAATAATGAAGATTATAAATAGCTCATTACCAATGGGAAATTAAATCAGATGTCTAATTCAGAAAGCCACTAGCATAACTTGCAGAGGTAGATATATAGGCCTAATGTTTCTGTGTGACTGGAGCCTCTTAAACATCCCAGCATTTTAGTCCAAAACTATGTCACACCAACAAACATATACTTTCATTTTCTCCTGAAATATCAGGTGAAATATTTTTATCCAGAGTGAGTCTTCTGTGGTTAAAGATGTAGATTTTACCTATTTTTATACCTTGTACAAATTTGTGGACCAGAACAAATGTATTAAAATCAGTTTAGATGATCATGTCAGTGAATGTGAATACTCATTAAATAAAACTCATTTTAAGCTCAGTCAGAAGAAAGAAAAACATATCTGAATGTAAATTGTGAAATTTTCAGCCTGTTTCAGATGTCAAAAAGACTAGATTTAAACTACAATCTTCAGATCTCAAAATGTTAATATAATTTAATACAAARACCCATCATAAACACAGTCCTGCACACTGAACATGTACCTGGCACTGCTTTTTTTAGTGGTTCCTGCTCCACTTTCCTGCTTCCTCTCATCTTCCTCCTTCTCCTCACCTGTCCCTTCCTCCTCCTCTTCACTTCGATGACTGGCATCGACTGACTCTGGACTTTTCAGCTAAAACTTTTGCAAGAGCCCTGAACACATCCAGAAAAACACAAACCAAGTCTGGATGATAGAAACATGTAAACAGTGCTTGCTAACCTGAGGCCTATTGCACAAAAGTCAGATTTCTAAATTCAGGATATGAGCTGTAAGCGGAGGCTGAACTAGCCTTCAACTTGTAAACAGCTGTAATCAGTTGCACGAACACCAAGCCGCACTCAATTAGGGTGATTCATTCAAGTCAGGTGTAACTAATCTGGGAGTAATGCACGTTCACGGTTTGCTTTCTAGACCCACTGGGTGGATCAAAGATTTCCTGATCAGGCATGCGCAGTAAGACACATGAGTCTCACTTCTTCTCAGCAGTTTAATGGTTAATTATGATTCATATGAAGTGATGAAGAGAAACACTGACTGAATGCTGAAATAATAATTAAAAAAAACTTTTTGTGCCACTGAATCTGTATCTGTTATCTGAAATTAACTAAATGARCAAAATTAAAATGAACAGCTGATCACTCACTTAGAATGATCGGAGTTTGAAAAGACGAGGGATGGGGTGACGGGGGGCTGGGTCAGATGGACAGGAAAGAGCAGCACCTGTTTGAGCAGTATGCTGGTGTAAATTCTCATTCAGGAGACGATGAATCTGAAAAGAGTAAAAAAACAAAACAAAATAAAATATAACTGAATTTATATTCTGCTGGTGAAACTGTTGAATAAAAGTCCAGTTTTTTTTTTCGGTTCTTTAAAATTCTGAGCAGTACCAACAACTAACTTTGGGCCTCATGCAAGAACATGTTCGTATTCTTATCCTAAATTTCTCTTACTTTTGTTCGTATGAAGGGTTCGTACGAACATGCCACGTCAGATTCAGCAAACTCTTCTATCTTCATGAAAAGGGTGTAAGTGAGCTGCGTAAATTCCACCTGTCCAGCTCCTCGTGCACGCGAGAGGAGATTAGCATAATTACCACCCCAAAAGCACCATAAGGCTATGTTTCCTGCCTCAGATATCAGGAAGTGTCCATTCAGGAAAATGACAGCAAAAATTAAAAAGAAAAACTTTACGAGTTCAGAGATTGAAGTCCGTCTGTCAGAGATCCAGAAAAGAAAATCTGTCATTTTTTGCAACGTCAGCTGTGGAATAAAATGAGCTGCTAAATGTATAAACAACTGTGTTAAATCATTTTCATTTATTCAGAAGCCACAGCGCTGCGCACCGTACACCCCCCACCACCACCCACCCCCGTGCGGTCGCAAGTGGTCGTTGCGGGTCTGAAACAAGCATTTCAAAATGTTTTCAAAATATGTCTGGCACTTCGGAGAAAATCCAGGACTTGCTGGAGGGATTATGTATCCTCTCTGGCCTGGGAACATCTCGGAGTCCCCCAGGACGACCTGGAAAGTGCCGATGGGGAGAGGGATGTCTGGGTCTCCCGCGACCCGATCCCGGATAAGCGGCAGAAAACGGAGGGACAATATATTTTTTCTAAATTATTACATTTAAAATTCTAATTCTAATTCAAGCAGAATAGCCCATTGTCAACATAATCATAGAG